AACCCACATAAACGGGTTCAGGGTCGGTTTACCTCCCAGAAAGAGACCCCACCCTTTGGCGTAGCCTCATTCGGGTTCCTCCCCGCCCGAAGGCAGAGAGAGTTCAACCGATCAGCCGGTCAACCGGTTGCCCAACTTCAGACTGAACTCCCTGCTTCCTCTTGAGGCGCAGTATTTATTACGTATGGAATAGACCATTATGTTATTATGGGTAAGGTCCCATAACATGATTCTTCACAAAACAATAGAAAATAACAAAATATTCGTTATTCACGGTATATATTTACATGCTATATAGGACTGCGACCCAGTAATTCCTATTTGGACTCCTTTCTTATACATGTTCTTTGCATATCACCCTTGACTATTTCTTTCGTTAGCATATGTTGAAGTAAAATTTTAATAACCGAAATAATTTGTAACACAAAATTTCTAATCGCCAATCATTTTCTTTAATTTTGCCCACTGTTGGAATCGCCGAACTGTGGGAAATATCACCCAGGTGAGGATACCCTAGTACACATCATATCAAACTACTAATTCAATCGACGAAAAACATTTCGCCTTATTCGTGTCATGAAAAGAATTCGAGAAAAGACGAGGCTGTTTTCTTGTAGAAATTATATTATTATCTAAATATAACTTTTTCAAATGCTACAATCTCATAAGTCAGAAGCCACTGTAAATATTGACATTTTTTTAAAGGTGAGAGGTTAACTGCATTTTCGCTGCTAATATTTGGCATGGAAATTTATTATGGTTTGACCCATATGTTTGCTGGCAAACGTTCACGATTGCTCACAGGTAAAACCTTATTAGAAGATTGAGTACTTTTGGCTTCTCTGGCTTGGGCAGTCAAGATTATTGTGGGAGAACTTTTGCTCAAAGGCACATTCAGCCACAAATTTCTCTTACAAAAAATTCAATACATTTCTCGTTGGGTCAGTATGCAGAAATATATGATTTTTATGTTTTTTACCCAAACGCGAAATATCGAAATGACAAATGAAATCTCAGCAGTGAATCAGATCAGAAAAAAATGATTTCATTTCCAGTGATTTATCTACTACAGTAGATTCCACCTCAGTGCCAGAGCCGAAATGGATACGAAAAATATGAACACAAGAGAGGAAGATGCATCCCAGAAAGGGGGAAAATGGTTAAAAGACAAAAACAAAATCAGTTTAAAAAAAAACAGTGAGAATATTTTATCTCCAGAATACCAAATTAGCAGAACCTACCTCGAATATCAATATTAATAAATATGGCTTTAACATAAAGTAACCACAGAGCATAAGTAAACATACAAACAACATGTCATCTCAACGAAAGTGTATGATTTAATATAAACACTTATTAAGAAGTTTAAAAACTATCTATTTTAATATCATTTTTCTAATATTACGTGAAAAGATTACATGCTATTAAATTCTGACTTTTTAATTAGTGGAATATAATTTGGATATCAGGAGATATTCCGTATTTTCGAGATAATTTTTTGTGGATAAGTGTAAATATTTACCTTTTTAAAAATGAATATGATACATGGTAAATCATTATATATCTCATATATATATATATATATATATATATATATATATATATATGTGTGTGTGTGTGTGTGTGTGTGTGTATATATGATAAAAATACAGTTATAGTCTGTGCAATATTTATGGCTGAAAGTGCTCAATATCAGTGATAGAGCCTATGTAAGTATAAAATTAAACACTGAGGTAAACACACATGGCCTGAGAATTACTCTTAAACACGAGACAGATTGTCGCTGGTGGAGTTGATCTCAACGTCCACCTGTATGTGCAGTGTCTATTTAACCTCAGTGTCTATTTTTAAAATTACATATATTCTATCACTGATATTAATCACTTTAACCCATAAATATAGTAGGAATAAAACTATATTCTTATCATATATATATATATATATATATATATATATATATATATATATATGTATGTATGTATGTATGTATGTATGTATGTATGTATGTATGTATGTGTGTGTGTGTGTGTGTGAATTTTATTAATTACTTTAATTTACAGTATTTACATTAGTCGGACTATTGTCCTCATCTTTGTCGCCATATTTGTCACAACGTTTCGGCCGTTGTACGCTCCGGCCTTCTTCAGGTGGTTGGAATTTCGAACTGAACCCTTTATTTCGATCACTGGGGTAGACTGTTCTAATTCCACGTGCCATGTTTGATGGATGTCAGTTGTCAGTTATCTCCTGCTAATTTTCCCTCTGAAAGTTCTCCACTGCCTTAACCAGGAATTGAACTCACCTTCTTTGGGTCTGTCACTGGATCTAACCAACGCCTTTATCCACTGTCTACCCCAGTGATCGAAATAAAGGGTTCAGTTCGAAATTCCAACCACCTGAAGAAGGCCGGAGCGTACAACGGCCGAAACGTTGTGACAAATATGGCGACAAAGATGAGGACAATAGTCCGACTAATGTAAATACTGTACATAATACCTCATCTCAGAAATATAGACAAATACTTTAATTTAATATTTATGATTTTGAAGAGGATACTGAGGTGATTTTAATGCCAATATATCTGAATTTATCCATTTATTTCAGTAGACTGGTTTTTTGGTGAAGATAGATGTATAACATTTACAAGATATTTATTAGTGTCTTTGTGTATTTCTATATTTTTAATGATTTTTATTGAGTAAATACAGTGTTTTCTTGTTTCTCAAATGTTCTCAAAATGTTTAAGTTATTTATCTTCATAGTAGGGGTTATATATTTGTTGTAACCTAGGGAAGGCTACTGAATAGAATAATTAGACTAAAGTTGGTATTGAACAGTAATACTTAGGACATGGACAACACATATAAGATTCGGCAGTGACGCGTAGAAAAAGTAATTAACTGGTAGAAGTGAGTCAAATTAACTCCACAATGAATCTAACTGCAGGATATCTGCCAAATGCCTCACGCGGTCAGAAGTTTCACAAGACCGAATTTAATGTGGGGTATCCGAGCCCTTAGCCTCGGCCAATTATTCACCGTATAAAACCGGGTTGGGTAACTGTTTTCTGATAGGAGACTGCACTTTGACATAGCGTCGTCTGGGAATCCACTCTGACCGGAGGCAGAGAGTTGGACCAGCACAGCTGAAGATGAATCTCTTGCTACAGGATATATACCAACCGCCCCACTCAGTCAGATGTGGCAAAAGGCCGAATTTATTGTTGGATACCCAAGCCCATAAGCTCGGCCAAAATTTACCCGTAGACACCGTATAATACGGGCTCGGGTATCTGTTTCCCTGGACGATATTCTGTCCATCGACATCGACTCGCCTAATGATCCTCTCTGTCTCGAGGCAGACAGTTTGACCAGCACAGTTGGAGACGAATCCCCAGGATATCTACCAACCGCCCCACGCGGTCAGCTGTAGCACAATGCCGAATTTAATGTAGTGTATCCGAGCCCATAGGCCGGGAGAAAAATTATCCGTTGTCCCCGTATAAAACCGGGTCGGTAGCTGTTTCCCGAGACGAGACTCTGCACTTCGACATATCTTCTTCTGGAGATCCTCTCTGCCCGGAGGCAGTGTGTTTGACCAGCACAGCTGGAGACGAACCCCCGACTGCAGACCAAGAAAGAGTATTTACTACTGTATTTATGTGATTGGGGACAGCCATTATCGTCCGTATGTACGCTACAACAATTTTATTTCAGATAAAATTCTCGGATCGATTTAAGTGTTAATTCTCTGACGTGAATTAAGATTAAGATGTCATTCTAATTTGTTGCTTTTCGATCTACTTTGGCTTCTAAATAATTGCTTCATCATATTAATAAGTTGTTTAAAATGACACTGAGTGATTGGTTCTTTTTTTTAAATTTATATTCCCTCGTTAGATCAATGGGATTCATATTGTTAATATTTTTATAAGAATATATATTGTACATATCCCCTGAGCCACGAAACGTAGAGTTTTACTGGAGAGATTATTGTATGATCGTAAGGGAAGGTGATAAGAAGGTGGATATCATGAGGATATGTCGATTAGATAATGCTTCACCCTAGATTTGTAGAAGGTTTATATTGTAATGATCGTGGAAGCATCCTCTCGGGAGTCAGTTTCACAACGTGACATTTCTGGAGAATAAGCAGTCTGAATATATATATATATATATATATATATATATATATATATGGGGCATGCTTAACCTTTACTTTTTCTCAGATTATTTGGATTTCCTTTGCTGAATAGTCTTTGTCGCGTACACCCTTGTGCAAATTAATTGAAACAAAACAAATACTTCCATTATTATTTACTTCTATCTTATTTTTCCCATGAAACCTGACCAAGTGCACATGTTAGTATTTCGTATGCCCATTCCACGAATTTGGTCCTTGCAGAGTGATTATAGATTCTCGATTGGATGTAGCTAAAGAGATTTTCCGGGCCAGTCTATAGTACTTTAATTTGCTCACTGGTAAATCTCGCCGGTATATTCGCACAGCGTTACAATTTTTGTACGCTTTCTAGGAGTAACGTCCATCGCAGATAATGGCCGTAGGACAACTAATCGACAGACGAGACAATAGTGGCTGGTTGTGATAAAAACTGATGCATTCATGGATGACGCAATATTTTTCAAGGTCAAATAAATTTCACCATAAAAAAAAGAGATTCGTATTACTGCAAAACACTGCAAATAAACTAATCCGAGGAAAAATAGAAATCGATTAAGCACCGTCATTCCAGGGGATCTAAAACTGACCAAATAGTGAAAGAAAGTACACTAAAGAAGTTGTTTCAATTAATTTGCATAAGGGTTTATTTAGTTAAAATTTTCATATGATATGCATTTTCACTCTATGATCCTTAGTTAAGTTTCTTAACTTTCATCAGTCTCTTATCTTTAAAACATGTTCAGATTAGTTTGTTTTGTTATGAATACCAATGTCTGAGCATTTATTTATTTCTTTTTAACATGGCAACACCCACTTACCTGTTTCAACAATTGGTATATTGTGTTGTTGTTACAGTCGACAATCAGCCGATTTTCGCCTTGTTCTTTAATCTCTTTAAGCTGTGATATATATTTGCCATCCCGCAACTGGAGTTTGCGAACAGAGATCTCAAACTTATATTTGCTGGCGGCGTTCAACACTTCCTGAAGTCGTATTAATCCTGCAACGATAACAATAAATTGAAATTAAGACAAACCGATTGACCAACAATTCAGTCAGACAGATAGACAGACAGGTAAATTTATATATATATATATAGGAAAAGTATATATAAATGTTTAAATATATATATGGGAAAAGTATACATAAATGTTAAAATATATATATGGGAAAAGTATATATAAATGTGTATATATCAGATGATTTTAGAGCATTTCTCGTTTATGCGCATGTGTAGTCATAACAACATAAACATCACTTTAGTCCGATGAAGATTAAAAAATTACGGGATGCATCACACTAAACAATTTTCCAATTTGTCATAGGCGCCCAAAAACACAGACACACACACATATATATGTTATGGCCCAAGTTTCTTGTACCACGGTGATGGTTCGAGGTTAGAACCAATGAAAGAATAACACGAACACAGGTATTGGAATACAAAAATATATTACAACAGAAATATAATACAAAGAAGTAGAAGTATTAGTAATGACTATCAGATTTGGTTAGAGTGAACTACAAGACAAGTATCACTATTCCAATGTCCTTACAATATGCTCTCAATTACCTCTCCTCGTCTTACAATCTCCCTCATACTTCTTGAGAGGCGCAATATTTATAATGTCAGAATAGTCCATTATTATTATAGGTAAGTTCCCATAACTATATATATATATATATATATATATATATATATATATATATATATAATATGAATCATTCATACAAAAAAAATATAGAGTTTATGATTTAAACGGCGAGAATATATCTTCGCAAACAATTTCAATAAGGTACACTAACCCCGAACCTGTATATGAATGATATGATCCCTGTTTAGTGTACCTTATTGAAATTGTTTGCGAAGATGTATTCTCGCCATTTAAATCCTTACCCTCTATATTTGTATTTTGTATGAATGATTCATGTAATTATAAATTGAACTGCACCTATAATCGAAATATATACATACCTATATATATATAATATATATATTACGGGAAACGATATATACATATTTTCAGTCTTGTGAGATGCGCATATATATATATATATATGTATATATATATATATATATATATATGTATATATATATATATATATATATATATATATATATATATATATTGCAACAACCTGAAGAAGGCCGGAGTACACAACGACCGAAACGTTGTAATAAATATGGCGACAAAGATGACAATTGTCCGAATAATATAAATAGTGTACATAATGCCTTATCTCATAAATATGGACAGGCAGTTTGCTAAGATGAAAATGAATAGCAAAAGTTTCAATCGCTAGCTCCAGGTTTTATAATAATCATTATTTATAATAATCACTATTTACATTATGTACACTATTCATTGTTCGAATAATGTAAATAGTGTACATAATACTTCATCTCAGAAGTTTAGACACATACTCAAGTTTCAACTTACATGAAGCAACTACATCAAATTAATAGTTATATCTACTCCAAGGAAAGTTGGCTCACTCTGTGCCAGAAAAAAATAATTTTCTCGTCAGAATCCATCTTGCAAATTTACAAATCTACTATTCTTCTGTGCATTGAATATTGTTGCCATATCTGGTTTGTTGCTCCTTCTATTATTCTCTAGGTTAATTACAAAATCCTAAGAAAGATCTGTAACGTAATCGATCTTGACTTGGCATTGAGCTATTTCAACAGTAAACGGGTTGGACCCAGATGCCATTTTTAATCTCTTCATTCCAAACAAAGCAGGAATATCTCTAATACGCAGGGGTTTACGGGGAGTGAAAGAGAAAGAAAAGACTGTGTTTTAAGGAAGATTGAGGAAAGCACGAAAAATGAACGTGATTTTTGAAGATTGTACTTATCAGGGAAGCAAGTAAACCGAAGTGAGTTCCACAGATTGGAAATACGCGAAAAGAAACTATCCGAGTAGAAGTGGCGGTTTCATTTAAATATTTCGACGTTCAGTAAATTTAGGCTGGCACAATTGTTCGTGAAAAAACACTGCGACATACGTTGAATGAAAAAGTGCAAAAATTTAGTCGGACCTCTGCCACCAGGGACTGTTTGCAACCATATAAATTGTGTGAAATATTTATTGATTGGATTTTTTTTTAAATGATAGACGGTGTATCTTTATCTATTCTAAAACCAATCGGTCTTAGTGAAAGTAATCTCATTTCAGAGACGTCTGTACTTATCTATTTTCAATAACGGTCTTCTCTTCGTTTTTCCCATTTTTTTTTTTTTTTTGCTGTGTCTATTTTTTTTTGAGATAAGTAGAAACTTATTGTGGTTTTCCTAAGAAATCTCATTTCACAAGTTCAAAGGTGCGCCGCTGTTATCAGGATAAGAAATTGTTGCGGAAATCCAGATGAGTCCACTTATATTACTACCAATGTGTTTTTAAAGACACAGAAAACCGTCCCACTGTTCTGCTCCATTTCTCAGGTATGGTGATATCACAATAGTAGATTATTATTTGAACAGGACATATTATATATATATATATATATATATATATATATATATATATATATATATATAGTTTTATAAAGAAGGTGCAGACTTCTATCAAGGTGAGTAACCAATATATCTTACCGGTTATTCCCCGGTACCATATCCTGTTCAGATAATAATCTACTATTGTGATATCACCATACCTGAGAAGTCGAAATGGAAAATAACATTGTGATATCACCATACCTGAGAAGTCGAAATGGAAAATAACAGTGGGACGATTTTATATATATATATATAACTGAAATAATAAAAACGAAAGTATTAATATAGAACCCAGAGTATCTGAAGATTTTAATTTTTAATATTTTTTTTATTGTTCAAAACATCATATATATATATATATATATATATATATATATATATATATATATATATATATATATATATGTGTGTGTGTGTTTGAGTGTGATTTATACCAACAGACTTCCTGCAAAATAGGCTACCATTAAACTTAACAGGTTATTCGCTAACATGTCTTCTTCAAATAATTCACTAATATTGTGATATGATCCTAAGAAAGAACTAAAAATGCGCCAGAGTAGGAGGAGGATTTTTTCTGTCGAGAGTCTGTTTCATACTGAACGTTATCTTCATATACCTCAGATGTTCTAAAGATTGATTTTAAGCAAGATAAAGATTGTCGCCGCAGGATAATGATCTCAACGTTCACTTTTATATAGACATAAGCTCTATCCCTGATATTGAGTACTTTAACCCACAAGTATAACATTACGTAAAACTATATTTGTATTATAGAAGGTTTTTATTTTAATTGTTTAGAACGCGCAGTAAGACAATTAAAGTTTGCATTGATGAATTGGAGAGACGTTCGAATTCCATTTAAGTTCATAGCACTCGCTTACGTGCTAATATGAATTAATCTCTTCTCTCTACGACTAAGAATAAATAGTAGGATTTATAGACAGGATTCTGTAGTCTTAGGTGGCATTCGGTCTAGGGGAAGGAAAATTCTGAATTAAAAACTGCATGAAGAACACATTCCAAATCCTGGCAGAGCAGTGTGAGGCAGAAGGATTTCTTTGGTAACAAAGAAAAGAATACTGAGGTTTTACGTGATATCTGTCCTTCTTTACGGCAGCGAATGGTGAACGATTTTCTCGAACATGAAGAAGAGACATGAAGCGACGGAGATGTGATTCTACAGAAGGATGCTAAGAATATCATGGACGGAGTGTATGAGCAACGATGAGGTCTTAGATATGACGCAAGCAAGAAGCAGGCTTAACACAGTCAAAAGACAGCTGGAGTTTCTTGGACACAAAATGAGGAAGGAAGACCTGGAGTATCTGATACTCACGAGTCCAATAGAGGGAAAGAGAGACAAGGGAAAACAACGCGTGATATACATGGTGAGCTTAAGCAGATGGATGGCAGAACGGGGCCTGGATGTGAAAGCAGCGTGAAGGAATTTTTCAGAGCCGCAAGGGATAGCGGAAAGTGGAGAGCCATGAACGCCTACGTACCGACAGGACATGGCACATAAAAAGAAAGCTGTAGTCCTGCGAAGCATATACTATGCAGTTAAAGAAAGGATCGTCTGCATTTACGTGTTGATCCCGACTATGGTCAATTCCATTTTTTAAAAATATTTTTCCAGTTTCAAAATGGGTTGCAGCACACCGACAATGACATTATGAATAAACTGTCCAAATATTTTCTTTTTGATACTTTCCATTGTCTAAGTCATTATCAAGAAATGTGTTATGTATGTGGGAGAGTCCACCATATATATATATATATATATATATATATATATATATATATATATATATATATATATATATATATAGAGAGAGAGAGAGAGAGATAGATATGGTGGACTGTCCCATCGTATTCGATATACGAGGTCAAGCAGCTCAGTTTCTAGGAACAGACACCCCGACAACAGCACATATGATTTGATTATAGAGGTGAAGGCATTCTGCAAAACTAACTACACTTTCTGAATATATATATATATATATATATATATATATATATATATAAAAAATTACTGTATTGGGACAGGAGATCATTATTTAAACATATATTATTAAATATAACTGACACTGAACGTCTATTATGTCTGATTATAAGCCGTTCGCATGGTTCGAATGCCTGCTTTAATTTCTGCGGAAAATGGAAAATAAAGACAAAAGTTGTCCAACACTTGGATATATTTCTTTATTAATTTGAACCTAAGCTTTCGGCTTACAGGAGCCAACCTCAGAATGGTTATAAAGACATGAAACAAAGATATCCACCGGTAAAGCTGATATTTTGTTATTTTGACATAGAAAATTGCTATGCAACGATAACTGTCGCGGAATAGCAGACGCAGATCGTAAGTTCAAGATGCAGTTCTATGACGTCATACAACGCCAATAGACAGAATTATTACAACAGAACCAATGTTATGTGTTGCGACTAGTTTGAAAGGTAATTTTGTTGAGTGTTGATTGCTTCGTTTTAATGTAGAT